ATTTTTCTAGCCCCAAAAAGTGTCTTGAGTACGGTTTACGCATTATATCCCTAAGCTTGGAGCTAAAGTATAACAATTAGCAAGTCACATTTTTTTTTCAGCTTACTCGTTAATTGTAAATAGAACAAAAATGTTAGGTCTCTAAAATTCCACTAAATCCTTGTATCGCCTATAGGAGGCTAATTGAGTCGATTTCGTAAGGTAAACGCGACGTGTATTATACTTATTGAAAAACAAACAAGCTCGAACATTTTTCCGTAGCTCAATTCGTTTGCTTCTACTGTGATATTTTAATAAGACGTGTACTTACATTTTTGTTGTTATCGAATATTTTAACAAAAAGCTTCGAAAAAACACAAAAGTATAGGCTCTTGGGTATTGTAACTTAGTAAGGTTTTTAAAAACGACGAAATAATACTAGTCAAAAACAAATAATTATAATATATGACCAAAAGTTGATTATAGATTAACCACAATATTAATAAAACAATATTTTATTTTATTCTTAATTCATTTCAAATAGATTTCAATTTTTTTTTTACTCGAGTCTACAAAATGTGCTTCAATATCGAGAATTAATTAAAATCCATGGCTACCGTCAGGGCCCAGGCAGGAATTTTTTTTTTTTGGGGGGGGGGCCATAATTTAAAAAATTAAACCAAATATCAAAATAAGAAAAGGAAAGTATAATCATTTTGGAATTAAATATTTTAATTCATAAAAATATTTAAATTTATCTATATTAAAACTCACTTTTTTAATTAATATATTATCAAGTAGATAATGTTGAATAATAAAATACATACTACTATACTAGTATATAAATTACAAATCTATTGAAGTAGCCTTTTTAATTCCATTGAGGATTTGGAAATTTCATTCATAAAATTTTCTTTATTTATATTTTCAGCTATATCTTTTTCTATTGATATCAATATTAATGGGTCAGAATATTTTGAGAAAGTGTTGATTTGAGTTTATTTTTAATAATTTTTAATTTCGAAAAAACTCTTTCACATGTTACTCGTGTTAATATTAATATTAAAGCACATTTGAAAACGATGTATAAATTATTGAATAGAACAGATTGTTTTGATAATTCCTCTATTAATATCAGGGACATAACCAGACATATTTCTATAAGGGGGCCAACATTTTTTGGCCCTTTTCTGTAGTTGTGTTTATCAAATGTGTGTTCGATATCCGTATTTGGAATTTATAGTTTTCAATCTATTAATATACGTACTATTGTCTTATCTCAAATTGTCAAGTGACGAATATTTATAAAATAGAATTTCAGAATTTAATTTTTGTTATATGATCGTTAGTTATATGGAATGAGCGCATGTAAACTCTGCCACTAAAAAAAATCAGGTAAAATTGAATACATGTAAACTCCGCCAGTGAAGAAAATCAATTAGTAGTTTAAAATTAATATGATATATTATTAAAAATAATATATAATAAGTAATACAGTCGACTCTCGGTAACTCGAACCTTGATAACTCGAAATTCTCGATGTCTCGAATAATTAAAATTCCTAACTCGAAAATTAATTTGACAAATTTTCGATATCTCGAATTTTCTTATCCAAATTTAGTACTAAAAGTAGTTTATCAAGGCGATTATTTTTCGCCTATCACTTGTTTTGTAAAACCCGACCATTATAATCAACTAAATGTTTGTAACTTAAACCTTGATAATTTCATACAATAGATTTCATTTTTAGTTCTATGCCGTTTGTTCGTTTAACCGTTTATTGAGCGAGTGTAACAGTGTTAAATCAGTGGTTATTATGGCTCAAAAAAGAAAATTAACAACATTATCACTTGCAGAAAAAGTGAACTTACTTAGAATTATTGAAAAAGGTGAAAAGAAAAAACAAGAAATAGCCAAAGATTTTGGAATTCCAGCGAGTACATTATCTACAATAATAAAAAGTAAAGAGGTAATTTTGAAAAACTTTAATGAAAACTCGGCAACTCGAAAAAAAAATGAAACCAGGAGAATACTCTGATATAGAATCCTGTTTATTAAAATGGTTTCAACAATGTCTTGACAAAAAAATTCCAATAAATGGACCCATTCTACGAGAAAAAGCTGAAGAGTTTGGGTATAAGTTGGGGCATGTACATTTTAAAGCCAGCAGTGGATGGTTAACAAATTGGAAAAACAGAAATAATGTTGTTTTTAAACAAGTTTTTGGTGAAAGTGGCGCTGTAGATGTACAAAAATGTTCCGTATGGATAAATAATTTACCGAAACTCATCGAAAATTATTCTCCAGACGATATTTTTAATGTTGACGAAACAGGATTATTTTTCAAATGTTTACCTGAAAAAACATTTATGTTTAAAGGCTAATCTTGTTCAGGTGGAAAACATAGCAAAGAAAGAGTAACACTTCTGTTAGGGGCGAATATGTCGGACACGGAAAAATTAAGACCACTTTTGATTGGTAAGTCGAAAAAACCACGATGTTTTAAACAAGTAAAATCATTGCCATTAGATTATCATGCGAACAAAAAATCCTGGATGACGTCTGAAATTTTTAATTTGTGGTTAATGAAATTAGATAAAAAAATGGTCACCGAGAAAAGAAAAATCTTACTTTTTATAGATAATTGTACTGCACACAATTTGACTTCAACTTTAAATGCTATTCACGTGCAGTTTTTACCTCCTAATACTACGTCTGTATTACAACCATTAGACCAAGGCATAATAAATAATTTTAAAATATTTTATCGAAAAGAAATGGTAAAAAAAATTATATCGACTATAAATGGTAACAATCAAATCATAATAAACATATTGGATGCTATACGGCTATGCGATAAAGCATGGCGACACGTAAAAAAAGGAACGATTGTAAACTGTTTTACAAAATCAGGTTTTAAAACTTCAATTGAAAACGATGAAAACACTCCTTATGATCCTTCTGATGATAATAACGATGAATGGGATCAATTAACGGAGAAAATAAATATTGATGAAACCTTTACATCATACGTTAATGTCGATGAAAATTTGGATATTTGTGGAAAATGGATTGAGAACGATATTATCTCCGATATATTGGACGAAGATAACCAAGAAGAATTCGAAGACCAACAAGTACAATCCACCATTACAAATAAAGAAGCAACACTTGCATTAGAAACATTACGTAAATATATTGAAGGCAATGAAGGTATGGAAGATTTATTTAAGCCACTCGGTGTTTTAGAAAATAGAATTGAGAACAATATAGTGTTAAATAAACAAAAACAATTAACTTTACACCAATTCTTTAAAAATAATAACATGTAAATTTTCTTTTTTATTTCGTTAATGTAAATACATATTATATAAAAATAAAAACATACTTTTTAAAAGTTTTTGATAACTCGAAATTTTTAGTAAGTCGAATTTTTTTTTCCCCCTTGAACTTCGAGTTACTGAGAGTCGACTGTATAATAATAAGTGAATATTATTATTATTATATTATATAATATCATACCTCCATTTTATTTCACCAGACACATATTTTATATTTTGGTTATATTTGTAGTTGTTAAATAAAACCAATAAATTGTCTCGTTGACCAGTTAATTAATTTTATATTATTACTTTGTTGCGACATATTTCGTTCAATATAAAATATACACGGAGACACGTAGACTACGAATAATTATATTCGTCAAAGTATATTTTACGTATACCTTACCTACTGCTGATATCATCATTGGATATACTTATTTCGGATAATATGAAGATAAAATTATTAATAAATGAATCAATGTGGATATATATCCACCTTGAAATGATTCGAACCATGAGAGTAATTTTATAAATTTCGACATACATCATCGCAATAGATGTCAACGTATTTAATGTGAGAAGGCACGTGGCAATGTGAGCACTGAGCAGGTAAACAAAAAACTGGCGGAGTTTACACTAGACCTTTTATTTATATTTATATCTTAACCGATATTCTAGCGGAGTTTACAGTCGCCCGTATGGAATATACATTCAGGATTTAGCCGTTTTGAGACAACTAAACACTATAATATTTAAAAATCAAAATCAAGGGGGCCAGTTCGGGGCCATTGATTTTTCTTTGGGGACCAGGCCCTCTAAGGCCCCCCCTACCTTGACAACGTCCCTGATTAATATGTAAGCACATGCTAAGCACTTATTACACTTATTACAATGAATTGATTCATAGTTAACTTTTGATTATTATATGATTATTATAATCTAATAGTTATTACCTTGCTGAATACGTGCAGGCTGAAAATGTAATTTAATTTGCTTTAGATTATTAGCATCTTCCATTAACTCTTTATGAAATTTCGCAGCTCTTTTTGTTGTTCTCGATTTTGATTAAGGCCCCATTAAAAATATTTTCAAAAAAATACGAAACAAATCTAATCATTATAATTTATTTAAAAGTTAAAACACTATAATAATAATGCGCTCAAGACAAAAACACATTCTCTCGACACTCTTACCTATACGTATAAATAAAACGAATGAGGGAAATGCCAGGTATGTTATCGGATAATAAGCGCCGTCCACAAGTATCTATATAATAATTTATTAGTAACTATACTCCATGCTGACAGAGCGCAAGTCGGCGGCTCCCGCCGTCGGATGATCGTCTCACCATCTCACCATCGTCGACCACTGTGCGCGATGGTTTATGACGGCATACGAACCGCGTGTTACCCGTATAATTATTTGTACAGATAAATAATTACTGTCGTTCTTTTTCCACATACAAATTTATAATATAATATTTTTACTTTTGTGACAAAAATAGGATACGACTATGTTATATTTAATAAAATATTATTCTTTAAGTAGTGATTTATTTAACTATGCTGTATAGTGTATTTTT